TGTGGTGGCCCAGCGAGGTCGGCATGCAACCGCTCGCCAGACAGAGCAGCGGCACGCGCCCTCACTCAAAGGGCGCGACGCCGCAGAAGCGGGCCGACCGGAGGGCGCGATCGCCACGCCGACATGGCCGAACGGACGACGCCTCACATGCATGCCCTTCGCCCACCTCGCTCAAGGAAGCCCAGGTTCGCCGACTCAGTTGGCCAGTCAGAGTAGGTCGACGTAAGGCTTGCGCTTCTCCTCGTACTCCTCCTCGGTGATCGCGCCCGAGTCGAGTAGTTTCTTGAGCTTGGCCAGCTGCTCGGTCGGGTCCTCGCGTCCCATCTCCATTGGAGCGACCGGCACCGCGGTGGTCACGACGACCTGCTGCGGCGCCGACGTCAGCGCATCCTTGGCCGAGCGCAACAGCTGGATCACCTCCTGCGGATTGTCCACGAGCATCTGCATGAGCATGTTCGGTGTGCAGCAGCGGTGCTCAGACGAGTGTGGGCCGGGGGCAGCCGCGAGCGGTAGCAGCAGGGATGGCTTTAGATGTGCAGGGGGGGTAGCGAGCAGTGTGCGGCCGCTCTTGCGCGTCTAGGCATATCTGCGGACGGCGGCGGTCTTGCGGATCGACCAGAGGACCGAGAGGAAGCCTGTGCTCCTCGAGGCTGGCGTGAACTCGTGTGTGTGTGTGACTGGTGAGGGCCGACGGCGGAGAGAGAGGAGGCCGGCAAAGAGGACGACCCAGTACAAGACGGCGAGGCCGATCATGATACTCGCAGCCAAGTCGAGCAGCGCCTGATGAAGAATTGGTAATGAATAGTGAATGGTTAATAATTAATAGCTGAGCAGCGCCTGGGCGTCGATAGGTACTCATGAGTGACCGCGCCATGTGGATGGCTCGCGGTCGTCGCGAGCAGAGCCGAGGTCCACATCTTGTGCAATCTCGTGCAATCACGATCCTGTGCCGTGTTTGTTATGACCCCCCCCAATGAACACACCGGTGAGGGAGGGCGAGACGATCGCGGGGTCCCGTACCATGCGGAATCGACCCTCTCCAGTGCTCAAGTGCTCAAGTGCAATCACGTGCTATGCTACACCTCCGCGCTGCCGATGTACTCCATCTCGTCGCATGTGTTCGCCAGGACGCTACGCGGTGGGGCAGGAGGGGACGCTGGCGGGGATGGCAGGGCGGGAGGCGGCGGAGACGAGGGTGGCGTCGGCGGCGTCGGCGGCGGGGGCGAGGGCGAAGAGCGGCGAGGCCGGCGACGGG